CGACAAAATTATACTAAAGAAATACATAAAAAGCTACTGAAGAAAAAAAATATTACAAAATATAAGGATCAATACTTTAGTTCTCAGATGAAAGCAGAACATACAATCAAAGCAACCCTATTTCACTGAATCATAACTTCAAACTATTTGTTTTAGTTATGAGTGTTTCCACTTACTCACTTCATCATGGTCCTAAAACTTGGCAACATAAAAGCACTAAAATTATTATTTCAAAGCTGGTGTGTGTAGGTCTTTGGTACAGGGTATGCTTAGCATGCTCAAAGCATTGAGTTCAATTCCCAGCACCAAAAATTAACAACTTAAAAGCCCCATATTCTCCCAATTATTATTTCAGCAGTATAAAACTATACTATTACTATCAGTACATGGCTATTAACAATTTCTAATTTAATCTCTTAAATTCTATATGCAATACAATGTGTTTACTAAAAGTAACACATCTGTTAGGTCTAAGCCTAAAACAATCTGTCCCTTCTTGGATTTCAAATTCAGTGCTATGTAACTGAAAAAAAAGTCAACTTAGTAACTGTTTTCTAGGCAGTGTGAGATTTCAACATGTGTACTCTACAGTGTGCCCTATCAATTCAGAGTAATTGGCACACTCATCACTTCAAACACGGATTACCTTTGTGTTGGGAATACGATCTAAGCTGCATTTGCTGGAAACAGGAATGTTTCTGAAGTAACACAGCAAATACATTAATAGCCAATATATTTTTATATCCATCTAGACTCATCATTTAGCCTGAATAAAGCAGTACTCTGAATTTCCTTTCAGGATGCTTAGCAAATATTTATCTTTCTTGATACTTACTTCTCTTTCTGCTTTCTCATTTTCATACTGACACATTCTTTTAAATGATTACATTCATCAATTAACTCCTCATTTCTGTCTTTGAGCATCACACTTTGTTTTTCACTCTCAGCTTGAAGTCTTTTAAAAATTGATAGGTAAAAAGTTGGGGTGGAGAGCGAGCGGATGGAGGAGGCACCGAGGCACAGATAGAACTCTTAGCAGGATACAGCTTTATTTCACATGGGACACGTTTCCCTCGGGGAAGGGAAAGATGTCAGCCCA